CTGAAAGCTATTCCTCTGAGAACAGGAACCAGACAAGGATGCCCACTCTTGCCACACTTATTCAACACAGTATTGGAAATGTTAGCTAGAGAAATTAGGCAAGAAAAAGAAATTAAAAGGATCCAAATTGGAAAGGAAGAAGTAAAACTGTTGCTATTTGAAGATGACATAATTCTATATACAGAAAACCCTGAAGAATCCATCGAAAAACTACTAGAAATAATTAATGAACACAATAAAGTTGCAGGGTACAAAATCAACATACAAAAATCAGTGATGTTTTTGGCGCTGGCCTGGTGGCATAGTAGTTGAGTTTGCACACTCCTCTTTGGCACCCTGGGGTTCACAAGGTCGGATCCCGGGCACAGACCTAGCACCACTTCTCAAGCCATGCTGTGGCAGCATCCCACATAAAATAAAGGAAGTCTGGCACAGATGTTAGCTCAGGGCCAATTTTCCTCACATACACACAAATCAGTGACATTTCTATACACTAACAACAAACTAAGAGAAAGAGAAATCAAGAATACAATCCCGTTTACAATTACAGCAAAAAAATAAAATACCTAGGAATAAATGTAACCAAGGAAGCGAAAGATCCATACACTGAAAACTATAAGACATTATTGAAAGCAATTGAAGAAGACACAAAGAAACGGAAAGATATTCAGATATTCTGTGCTCAAGGATTGGAAGAATTAACATACTGAAAATGTCCATATTACCTAAAGCAATCTACAGATTCAATTCAATCTCAATCAGAATCCCAACATTCTTCACAGAAATAGAACATAGAATCCTAAAATTTTTATGGAAGAACAAAAGACCCCAAATAACCAAAGGAATCCTGAGAAAAAAAGAACAAAGCTGGAGATATCACCCTCCCAGATTTCAAAATATACTACAAAGCTATAGTAATCAAAACAGCATGGTACTGGCACAAAAACAGACACAGATCAATGGAACAGAATTGAGAGCCCAGAAATAAACCCACACATCTACGTACAGCTAATTTTTGACAGAGGAGCCAAGAATATATAATGGAGAAAGGAAACTCTCTTCAATAATGGTGTTGGGCAAACTGGACAGTCACATACAAAAGAATGAAAGTAGACCATTATCTTATACCATACACAAAAATCAGGTCAAAATGGATTAAAGACTTGACTGTAAGACCTGAAACCATAAAACTCCTAGAAGAAAACATAGTCAGTATGCTCTTTGACATCGGTCTTAGCAATACCTTTTAGAATACCATGTCTCCTCAGGCAAGGGAAACAAAAGAAAAAATAAACAAATGGGCTACATGAAACTAAAACCTTCTTCACCGCAAAGGAAACCATCAACAAAATGAAAAGACAACTCACCAACTGGAAGAAAATATTTGCAAATCATATATCTGACAAGGGGTTAATTTCAAAAATACATTAAGAACTCATACAACTCAACAGCAAAAAAACCAAAGACTCAATCAAAAAATGGACAGAGGATATGAACATTTTTCCGAAGAAGATATACAGATGGCCAACAGGCATACGAAAAGATGTTCGACATCACTAATTATTAGGGAAATGCAAATCGAAACTATAATGAGCTATCATCTCACAGCCATTAGAATGGCTATTACTAAAAAGACAAGAAGTGTGGGAGAGGATGTGGAGAAAAGGGAACACTCATAATACTGCTGGTGGGAATATAAACTGGTGCAGCCACCGTGAAAAACAGTATGGAGATTTCTCAAAAAATTAAAAATAGAAATACCATATGATCCAGCTATCCCACTGAGTATTTATCTCTAGACCATGAAAACATCAATTCAAAAAGATATATGTACCCCCATGTTCATCACAGCATTATCAACAATAGCTAAGATTTGGAAGCAACCCAAGTGCCCATCAACAGATAAATGAATAAAGAAGATGTGGTATATATACACAATGGAATACTACTCAGCCATAAAAAAGACAAAATCCTGTCATTTGTGACAACATGGATGGACCTTGACGGTATTAGGACAAGAAAAATAAGTCAGACAGAACAAAGCAAACACTGTATGATTTCACTCATAGGTGGAAGATAAACAAATAAACAAACGCATAGATAAGGAGAACAGATTGGTGGTTACCAGAGCAGAAGGGGGTAGGGGGAGTGTAAAAGAGGTGAAAATGTACATAAGTATGGTGACGGACAAAAACCAGACTACTGGTGGTGAACATGATGCAGTCTATACAGAAACTGAAATATAATAATGTAAACCTGAAATTTACACAACGTTATAAACCAATGTGACCTCAATAAAATAATTTTTTAAAAAGTTGTGATATATATATCTCCACTCTATCTACATAATGGGATATGATTTAGCCATTATAGACGAGGAAATACTACCATTTGTGACAACATGGGTGGAACCTTGAAGGCATTATGCTAAGTGAAATAAGGCAGACAGAAAATGAAACACTGGACTATCTCACTTCTATGTGGTACCTAATAAAAAACAAAAAAATACCAAAAAACCTACAAAACTCATAGAAAAAGAGATCAGATTTGTGGTGACCAGAGGCAGGAGGTTGGGAGGAGGGGGAACTGGAGGAAGGTGGCCGAAAGTTACACACTTCCAGTTATAAGACACATAAGTACTAGGGATGTAATGTATGTACGACATGATGACTATAGCTAGCACTGCTGTATGGTATACAGGAAAGCTGTTGAGAGAGAAGATTCCAAGAGTTATCACAAGAAGAAATGTCTTTTCTTTTCATTGTATCTCTATGAGATGACGGATGTTAACTGAACCTACTGTGCCAATTATTTCTCATTATATGTAAATCAAACCATCATGTCGTACACCTTAAACTTATACAGTGAGAGATGCCAATTATTTCTCAATAAAACTGGAAAAAATGAAAAAATATTGAAGCTCTTAGATAAAGAGAAAAAGGTGTTCAGGGCATATTAAGTGCTGATCTCAAGGTAATTTGCTGTCACTAAGTCTTTTAAATTGGTCCAGCTATTCAAATTGCTTTGTGAAGAGAAGAAAGATTAGAAATTTAAATAACTGAGGAATGATCCCAAGGGTAAGGGATATAATGGAGATAGGTGCTAGATAATGGGGTTTGAGTCTCCATTATTTAGAAATATGTCTCTTGATTTGTAATCCCCATCCTGGTAATTTCAACCCTCCTGATTCTACTTTATTATTCTCTGTAGGATTTTTCACCATAAAACATGATATGTACAATTTACTCTCTTCTCCAAGAAGAATGAGGGCAGGTGTCTTTCTCTGTCTTTTTCAGTGATGTAGCCCAAATCCCCAGAACAAGGCATGTTACTTAATCACTTTGTGCCTCAGTTTCCCCATCTGTACGATGGGGTCAAAAATAGTACCTATCTCATAAGGATTAGATCACATGATTTTATATATATATAAAGGGCTCAGAGCAGTTCTTGGAGCTACAGAGCTACAGAAATGTTTGCTATTATCATCATCATTCTTATTACTATTATTATTAGTTCAGGTAGCAAAAGCAGAGTGTGCACAGACATGGAGGTGGGCAGCAGTGTGGTGTGACGGGGAACTGGATGGTAGTAGTGATGACATGCCTGACGAATAGGGAGAGTCAGGGACCACATCCTAAACTGAAGTCGTGTTATATGTTGCATTTCTCAATTGTTTGTGATCTATTTCTGCCTACTAAGCTGCAAACTCCACGAAAAACTCCATGAGGAACTTGTGCGGTAAATCACTGTATCCCAAGCATTTAGAATAGTCACTGGCAATATAGTCAGCGCTCAATAAATGTTAATTGAATGAACAATGGATTCAGAATTTTGAACTTTGTCCTGAAAACCATGGTGAGCCAGTGAAGCAGGGAGAACACTAGATTAGAGGCTAGGAAGCAAGTCATCAGTTTCGTACAATAAGCAATGACAAGGGCTAACGAAAGCAAGTGACTGGGTATTGGAATGAGGATGAGGAGTGGCATCGAGGTGGTGGTGCCATTCATGGAGACAGAGAGAGAGCAGGAGGAGCAGATTTAGGGGGAGATGAGGGTCTCTGTTTGGGACACGTTCAAGATTTGTGGGTCTGAAGCTCAAAAAAGAGGCTGGGGCTAGAGAAAGGCTTGGGAGTCATTGGAGTATAAGGGGCGACAGAGGCCCAGGGTCTGCATGGCCTGACACTGGGGAATGTCACGTGACCACGTTCTGCTCACTATTCATGACCCTTTCAGGAGCTGGCCTCCTCAGCAAGAACAGACAGTCTTTGAGGACAGAAATACTTTCCACTGTAGCATTCCGTATACAGTGTGCGACTCAGTGATAGGAAAAGGATCAAGAGCAGAACTTCCGCGGCAGAAAGGAACCTTAAAAATCACCTTACATGCGAGAACTGAGGCCCAGTATGGTTAAACTACCCGCCTGAGTTCACTCAGCTAAACAGCCACAGCTCTGGCTGCAGGACCAGATCTCCAGGCTGCCATTCCAGTGCCCTTTTGAGGAGCCACAGTGCCTCAGGGCGATGAGTTCCGTGCACCCAGATGAGTGGGCTTACTTAGCTTCTCTGAGCCTCCGTTTCATCATCAGCAGGATTGTCAGGGGTGAACCGGGACCATGTCGCTTGTGAAGCAATGAGTATAGTGCCAGGCATCCAGTCGTGCTCAATAAATGCTTATTTACCATTCATTTCCCTTAAGAAGATAGGGGATTTGGAATAACGTGTTAAGGATGGAGCTGGATGCTGCGATCTGAAAGGCTGAAAGATGAGCAGCACGATCTTGCATGTCTGTCATCAGCGGTCAGAGAGGAGCCACTACTTTCCTCTAGAGGGGTTAAAAGAGTTAGGTGCTCCAGCTCGCGGGCTTACGCCTGCCAGAGTGCGGGCGTGCACCCTTTTACCTCGCTCATCTCCCTTCTCCGTCCTCGCTTGGCTCCGCCCCGCTGGCTCGGTGACGTCCCCAGAAGGAAGTGATTCTCCGCGGGCAACAGTATTTAAACACTAGATGTTGCCAAAGGCATACCTGCGGAGTCTTCTGAGTTTAGAAGGTAAGATGGGCAGAAGGAAGAGAGCTGGTTCTTTCAGGGATTTGTTGGGCTTTAGGGGAACGCAGCTGAAAGGGGTGTGGGGCTGGGGAGCGGAAGGAGGGATTGGGGAGCAGAGCCGGCTGGCCAGCCCCAGAGGGCTTTTCGGTCCTGAGCCCTCCTGAGAACTTCCAGGTTCTGCCACAATCTACACTTCATTCATTCAAGTCGTCTCCATGTATCAGACACTCTGGGCACCTGGAGAAAACGAAACTGAAACCAGGACTCATCCATTGCAGTGCTTTGGTGGGGTGTCTTTTGACTTTCTTCCCTTCTCTGCTCCTTTCTTTATACCGGCCCATCTCACATCCGTTGTAACAGGAAGGGTCCGCGCAAACATTTGGCTCAAAGATTTCATTGCTGGGTGAGTGTGTGCTTGTAGCACAATTGATTAGACCTGTGGGGGTGGGACCTTTGAGACGGACTGAGTGGTGAGATTGCTAAAAAATGGTTGCTTTGTGAATTGCAGCGTATGTTGCATCGTAGCAGATGCAGTTATATAAATATTCAGGTAACAGTTTGGTGTTGTCTGATGCTTGAATTGGATCTAAATCGCTCGGATCTGATTGAGGGCAGTTGGACTAAAGGGACATCCTCAGGTTCCCTGTTTGTCTAGTAGGTATATGCACATGGATGGGGAGAATAGGATTTGTTAAAAAAGTTTTTCACGAAGGGACATAATTATCTCTACCATTTATTGAATGCCTTATTTTTGCCACTCCGCCCTCTTTAATGCACTTTATATGCGTGACCGCATTTATTGTTGCCTCCGTTTCAGGGAACAGAAAATTGAGACAATAATCTAAGGTTACACAATTAGGAAGTGACAGCCTGCAGTTACCCAATCAGGGGCTCAAACTTAGATCTTGCTAAGGTGCGAGTCTCAGCTCCTTAACTACTTTATCCTGCTTGGAAGAGGAGCACACCGTGCACAGAGAAGCCTGCACAGCGCGAGGGAACACCGTGAGCTATGAGCCTTCCTGGGGTACAAGTAATGCACATTGACAAAAACACATTTTTTACTATTAAATGAAGTTTCTGGATTTTTAAATTTTTTGTTTTGTTTTCTTTTTAAAGAGGCCATCTACTTCTAGTCAGAGTGTATTTAAAGACATTGAAAGAGTTTTACTATTATAGATTTGAGAATCCTAAAATTGATCATATGCTGTGACCAGTCAAGTTTTTGAAATCTGTCATAAGCTCCATCATAAGAAAATAAGCTAAAATAAGCGAAATTTGCTGCAATGTTATTTAGAATGGTTAAAAAACTCTAATTACAAAATCTTATCTAAGAACTGCTCAGTAGTAGGGAGATGAAACAACTGTATGATGGCATATTACACAGCCGTTAAAAATGTTTTAAAAGACTTTGTAATAACATATGAAATTATTTATACTGTGGCATTAAATGAGAGGAAGAAGGATACAAAGTTACTTACCTAGCATAATCCCAACTATTCTTTAAAAATCTATAGAAAGGGGCAGGCTCCGTGGCCAAGTGGTTAAGTTCACGCGCTCCACTGCGGCAGCCCAGGGTTCGGATCCTGGGCGCAGACATGGCACTGCTCATCAGGCCACGTTGAGGTGGCGTCCCACATCCCACAACTAGAAGGACCTGCAACTATGATATACGACTGTGTATGGGGGGTTTGGGAAGACAAAGCAAAGCAGAAAAAAAAAAAAAAAGAAGATTGGCAGCAGTTGTTAGCTCAGGTGCCAATCTTTGAAAAAAGAAAAGAAAACAGTTGCTTCAAAAAAAAAAAAATCTATGGAAATATACTAAAATATTGAAATGTTTGTTTCTGGGCAGTGGGCTATAGATTAATAATTTTCTTATTTTTAATTTATGTATGTTTGTAATACTCTATAATAAAAAAGTTCTGTAATAAATAAGTAGATATATTTTGAAAAAGTTGCTAGTAAAATTAGTTTCACTAATTCAGATGTTTTCTCACTATTATAAAGTTACAAAGTACTTCTCTCATCCCCAGGTGGGAAGTCAGAAGACTCCAAGAGTGTTGTCCTTCCTTGTTTGCCCTACAGGAATTTCTAAGAGCTGTATGTCTCTCTGATCAAGTGCCAAGGAGATAAGTTTTCATTTTCTCAAAGAAAAGGCTAAAAGTTGTAGCCAGTGGTATTTACCATCATGGAGACCAAGAGCCATAACAACCCTCAGGGGAGACCCACACCCTCCAGCAATGGGAGGGTTTCCATGAAAGACAATTATTTGTTGATTGAAGCTGTTAAAAAAGGCTATATGGAGCAGGTCCAGCAATTGCTGGAAGGAGGAGCTGATGTCAATTTCCAGGAAGAGGAAGGAGGCTGGGCACCTTTGCATAATGCGGTGCAGACTTACAGGGAGGGCCTTGTGGAGCTTCTGCTTCATCATGGCGCTGACCCTTGCCTGAGGAAGAGGAATGGGGCCACTCCCTTCATCGTGGCTGGGATCATGGGAAATGTGAAGCTGCTCCAACTTTTCCTTTCTAAAGGAGCAGATGTCAATGAGTGTGATTCTAATGGCTTCACAGCTTTCATGGAAGCTGCTGGGACGGGTCACGTGGAAGCATTAAGATTCTTGTATGAGAATGGAGCAACGGTGAATTTGAGGCGAAAGGCAAAGGAGGATCAAGAGAGGCTTAGGAAGGGAGGGGCCACAGCTCTCATGGATGCTGCTGCAAACGGACATGTAGAGGTCTTGAAGATCCTCCTTGATGAGATGGGGGCAGATGTCAATGTCCGTGACAATATGGGCAGAAATGCTTTGTTCCATGCTCTTCGGAACTCGGATAATAGTAATGTGGAGGTCATTACTCGCCTTCTGCTGGACCATGAGGCTGATGTCAATGTGAGAGGAGAAGAAGGGAAGACGCCCCTGATCCTGGCAGTGGAAAAGAAGCACTTGGGTCTGGTGTCGATGCTTCTGGAACAAGAACGTATAGAGATTAATGACACAGACCGTGAGGGCAAAACAGCACTGCTGTTTGCTGTCCAACTCAAACTGAAGAAAATTGCCCAGTTGCTGTGCAACAAAGGAGCCAGCACAGATTGTGGGGATCTTGTTATGATAGCGAGGCGTAATTACGACAGTTCCCTTGTAGACTTTCTTCTCCGTCATGGAGCCAGTGAAGATTTTCACCCTCCTGCTGATGACTGGGAGCCTCAGAGCTCACGTTGGGGGACAGCCCTGAAACATCTCCACAGGATGTACCGCCCTATGATTGGCAAACTCAAGATCTTTATTGATGAAGAATATAAAATTGCTGACACTTCTGAAGGGGGCATCTACCTGGGGTTCTATGAGGAGCAAGAGGTAGCTGTGAAGCGATTCTATGAAGGCAGCGCACGTGGACAAAGGGAGGTCTCCTGTCTGCAGAGCAGCCGAGTCCGCAGTAGCTTGGTGACATTCTACGGGTGTGAGAGCCACAGCGGCTGTCTGTACGTGTGCCTTGCCCTCTGTGAGTGGACACTGGAGGAGCTCTTGGCCCATCACAGAGAAGAGGCTGTGGAAAATGAGGAAGGTGAATTTGCCCGAAACGTCCTCTTATCTATATTTAAGGCTGTCGAAGAACTCCACCATTCGTGTGGATACTCTCACCAGGATCTGCGGCCACAAAACATCTTAATAGGTGAGTCCCCAGTCTTCTCTTAGAAATTGTAAAGTCATTATTTACAAAAGGAAAAGATTTTCATTGCAGATAGGAAAGGCCTAGAGTAAAGGTAAGTTATTCAGTTTGAGGATTAACGCAACAAATTCGTAATTACAGTGCAGTGCTGCCGGTTAAAACCTTTACTCCACATGGAAGTCACAGATGCCAACAGAATGCCAGGCTAGTTTTATATTGCCCATGGCAAATACAAATATGAAGCCATGTCCTGGATGGAGCCAGCTCTAGAAATTTGCATTTGTAAAACAAAAAGAAAGAGCTGAAGAGAAATGCAATGGACCAAATATTTGTGTTCCCCCCAAATTCATATGTTGAAACCCTAATCCCAGTGTGGTAGCATTTGGAGGTGGGGCCTTTGGGAAGTGATTAGGTCACTTAGGGTGGAGCCCTCATGAATGAGATTAGTGCCTTTTTTCCCCACAATCAGAAATAATTTTTTTAAATTTTTTTAAACTAACAGCTTTATTTTAGTTTTTTTTTTTACTTTTTAAGCTAGCAGCTTTATTGAGATAAAATGGACATCATCTAAGTTTAAGGTGTAGAATGTGGTTTTATATACATACATATTTCAAATTGATTACCACAATATGATTAGTGAACACATCTGTCACCTCACATAGTTACCATTGTGTGTGCGTGTAGTGAGAGCTTTGAAGATTTACTCTCTTAGCAGCTTTCAAGTATACAAGACAGTATTGTTAACTCTAGTCACCGTGCTGCTCATTAGGTCCCCAGAACTTACTCATCTTGTAACAGGAAGTTTGTACCCTTTGACTTTCAGCTGTTTGCCCCACCCCCACCCCCGCAGTGGCCACCACCCATCTACTCTCTGTTTTTATGAGTTCAGTTTTTTTAGATTCCACATATAAGAAGTGAGATCATATAGCATTTGTTTCTCTGCCTGACTTACTCAACTTAGCGTAATTGCCTTCAAGTGTCATCCATGTTGTCATAAATGGCAGGATTTTTTTTATGACTGAATAATATTCCATTCTGTATGTGTGTGTATATATATATATATATATATATATATATATGTCACATTTTCTTTATCCATTAATCCATTGAAAGACACTTAGGTTGTTTCTATGACTTGGCTTTTGTAAATAATGCTGCAATGAACCTGCAGGTGCAGAGATCTCTTCAAGATAGTGAGTTCATTTCCTTTGGATATATACCCAGAAGTGGGATTGCTGGATTATATGGTAGTTTAATTTTTAATATTTTAAGGAACCTCCATTATGTTTTCCATAGTGGCTGTACCAATTTATATTCCCATTAACAGTACACAGTCCCCTTTTCTCCACATCCTTGCCAACACTTATTTCTTGTCTTTTTGATAATAAATATTCTAACAGGTGTGAGGTAATATCACACTGTAGTTTTGATTTGCATTTCCCTGATAAGTAGAGCTGTTGAGCACCTTTTCACGTACGTGTTGGCCATTTTTCTGTCTGCATTGGAAAAATGTCTATTCAGATCCTTTGCCTGTTTTTTAATCAAAGTATTTGTTTTTTTGCTATTGAGTTGTATGAATTTCTTATATATTTGGATATTAACCCCATATCAGATGTATGATTTGCAAATTTTTTTTTCCATCCCATAGGTTGCCTTTTCATTTTGTTGGTCAATTCTTTTGCTGTGCAGAAGATTTTTCAGTTTGATGTAGCCCCACTTTTTTATTTTCGCTTTGTTGCTTGCACTTTTGGTGTCATATCCAAAAAATCATTGCCAAGACCAATGTCAAAGAAATTTTTCCCTATGTTTTCTTCTAGGAGTTTTACAGTTCAGGTCTTACATTTAAGTCTTTAATCCTTTTTGAATTAATTTCTGTGAGTGGTGGAAGATAAGGGTTCAGTTTCCCTCTTTTGCATGTGACTATCCAGTTTTCCTAATATCATGTTTTGAAGAGACTGTCTTTTCCCCGTTGAGTATTCTTGGCTCCCTTATTGGTTGACTGTATATATGTGGGTTTATTTCTGGGCTCTCGATTCTGTACCAATGGTCTATATGTCAGGTTTTATGCCAGTACTGTACTGTTTTGATTACTATAGCTTTGTAACATAGTTAGAAATCTGGAAGTGTGATGACTCCAGCTTCATTCTTCTTTCTCAAGTTGCTTTGGTGGGATTAGTGCCCTTATAAGAAGAGGTCGTAGGGCTAGCTAGCTGTCTTTCTACCACGTAAGGGCACACCTGTTTGTAAACCAGGAAGAGAGCCCTCACCTAGAACCTGAACCTGCCAACACCCTGATCTTGGACTTCCAACTTCCGGAACTATGAGAAATAAATTTCTGTTTTCTGACTCACCCAGTTGATGGTAATTTGATATAGCAGCTGGCACCGACTAACATAACAGTCAAATTATTATTGGTCACATGTGATTCAAAATAAATACATTTTTTAAAGTATTTAAGGATTCAGGAAAACTTTCTACCCACAGACCCTATATGAAAGAATTGCTGGAGGATATGTGTAAGGAAGGAGAGAAAGAGCCTGGGAGAAAACAGACTTTTCAGGGGCAAAAATGAACAAAGAAATAATTTTTTTAAGTAAGCTAAACATGTGTTGTTTTTTAAAAAATTAAAATTAAAAAAATCTTAATCCTAGATGATATCTCTGTGGTGGGAGTGAAGATGAAAAGCAGAGTGAAGGAAAAGGGGACTGAGCTTCTTGAGTGGTTGAGAGCAGGATGAAGCAGGCAGGTTTCGTCCTAGCTCTGCCCATCAACTGTTTGTTAATGTCTGTGATTACATAAGACAGGACACTAAGCATAAGCATTTAAAAAATTTTATAGCACTTTAACAATGTCTGTTGAATCTAAAAATAAAAAATTGGGGCCTGTAAAAAAAATCAAGTCTTAGAAGAGATGTGAAGTGTTCCATTAGACACTTTCAAATTTAAGTAGCAGAAAACTCACTTCAAAAGTGGCTTAAGCAAGTGAAAGGAATTTATTGGTTCAAATAACGGAAGATAACCCATGATTTTTAATCTGTGCCCCTTCGCTGCTTGATCCTCATTGCAGGCCACCTTCTGACTTCATCCCTCCTCTCCAGCCCTTGGGGCTTCTTTCTGTCAGCGCAGAATTCTCCAGGTTCCTTTCTGTCTTGGGAATTCCTACCTGGAATTCTGTCTCCCCTCCATTATTTGCTTCACTCACTTACCTGAATTCTAGATCTTTTCCATCTAAGCGTCTCTTCCTTGAAGAAGACTTCTCCCCCCCACGCACAGCCATGGAGCTCTTCTTATAATACACTTTCAGAGGATCCTGCACTTTGGCTAGCATTTTCAAAATGGCGATTAATTTTATGTTCATCTGTGTAATTATTCATTTAGTATCAGTCTTCTCGTCCAGAGACACTACACCCTGTAGGTCTGGGACTGTGTTCTCCTTCACCATCATTTTTCCCCTCATTAAACTCTTGTTGAATAATTTGATGGGCTACTTTTTGTTAGATTCTGGGTTTCCACACAACGTTGATGTCTCAGTTCAGAATAAAAGGGGTTTGAGAAGCACACAACTGCACTGGCCATCATCCTACCTGGGGATACCCAGCGTTCTTTCTCAGACTCCTTCAAGCCAAAGGCAGGAGCCACCTCTTCGAGGACAAATCACTGATTTGCCCTCCTTTCATCTTGTTCCTGACCTCTCTCATCCATGCATCCCTTTTTTCTAAGGACTCAGTGGCTTCCTTCAAGAGAGAAAGATTCTGAAGAGGGCAAGGAGGCAGTGACTCATTACAAGCGTGTGGTTGACCCATGATAAGTGATTACAATGTCATGGTGGGCTGTGGCTAGTGGGCTCAATTTGATGGAGCGCTCTGCTTAGGCATTCTGGGATTTGGAGCCTTGTTGGTTAATTGTTCTTTAGCCATAGGCTGTAGCCATAACCCCTACCAGCAGCTCCTTTATAAATCTGTGCTCCTCACTCCTAGGAATTGCATGACTGGGGAGCTGGTTAAATTTATTCTCATCTGTCCCCACCCGCTGACCTGGAAAAAGTAAAATGTAAGTCCTGCTCTTGGCAGATACCTAATAGGTCAAACGACACAGTGCAAAGGACAGTGTTTTGAGGAGTAAACAGCAATGCAGATAGAAACTTTATTATTGCCTTCTTCAGAGATGATGGATTGCACATTGCGTTACGTACTTGTTCAAATTAATTACTCACAACATGGAGGATGAGGATTTTTAATGCAGCTCTACAAACTGTCCCTTAGATTCCAAGAAAGCTGTTTGCCTGGCAGATTTTGATAAAAGTATCAAGCTGTCTGGAGAGCCACAGGAAATCAAGAGAGATCTGGAGGTAATTTCTACAGTCAATGGACTTTTCCGTTTTCCTGCTTCCTTACGTTTTCGTTACCTTATTTGCTATGGCCAATGAGAGGCTGCTCCTATTTTATCTAGGAAGGAAAGACCTCTCAAGGCCTTCCCCTGGTCTTGCTCACGGACCTCCTTCCCTTGCAGACAATGGTGATTCTCTGGGTTGGTGTGGAGTTGCTTGTCGCTGTGGCTCCTTTCTGTGTCTCTTTGGATTTCTTCCTTCCAAATAAATTGCGCATGCTGCACCTCTTCTAGAATCACCTCCAAGAGGTATCTCCAAAATACCTCCAAAATTCCTGCGGGAGGTATTTTCTGCTTAATGACAAGGTAAATGAGACTTTTTTCGCCCACTCCATTCAAACTCTGAAGAGGGCAGACACTAAGCCCTCTGAGACACCTGGGAGGGATGGGCTCGATCCATAGCTCCAAAGAGACTAAGCCTGGTCCAAAAGGTTAAGACCCTGAAATAACTGTTTCTCCTGGGAAGAGACAGAGCCTGGCCTCTGCAGCCAAAGCTCCCAGAGCGGTTCCGACCCTGGGGGAGCAGATCTCTCTGGAGAGTTCCCCAGGCTGTTGAACTTTCAACCCAGTGAGCAAGAGCTCTGCATCCCTGTCCAAGCTTTGTGGTTCCACGGCTCCCGATTTCAGCTCCTTCCCTGACTGGTGTCTTGCGTGGTACAGGAGTTCCTATGTTGGCCTCCTTCTCAGCCTTTCCTCCCTGCCGTGGCCTACCTCCTGGGGCCGTTACTGTGTCCCGCTGGACCTGAACTGGCTGCTTTATCTGCTACCTGTCATATCCCCCACCCAAAGTCCCCATTCCCAGCCAGATTCCTGGCATTCCCCTTGTGTTTCAAAAAACGTTTTCCCTTTTCCCAGTTTATCTAAATTCTATCTATACTTTAAGGTCCATCTCGAAAACTTCTTCCTCTAAGCAGTCTTTCCTGCCAAGTTTGGCCCAGAATTATCTTTTGCTCCTTATAAACCGAAACTGTGGGGATCACGTATTGCCTTGAAGAGTTCTCAATGCACAAACCTATGTCTTTTCTTCCCCTGTGGACTCCTCGAGATTCCTCCCATTTTCCATTTGCTCGTAGCCTGCACCACACCCTCTAAGGTCACCCAGATAGAGTGGGTAAGCACCTTTGGCTTCATTTGTGGCTTTTGTGCAGGCCCTTGGACTGCTGGTCCTATATGTGGTAAGGAAGGGAGACACCCCTTTTGAGAAGCTGAAGACTAAGAGTAATGAAGAGGTGATTCAACTTTCTCCAGATGAGGATGCTCGGGACCTCATTTGTCAACTGTTGGACCCTGGGAAAAATGTGAAGGACCATCTGAGTGGCCTGCTGGGTCATCCCTTCTTTTGGAGTTGGGAGAGGTAAGTAAAACTTGAGTGCACCTTAGGGGCCTCCAGAATGGAGACAGTGAGTGTATTAGTCAGGGTTCTTATGTATTGATATTTATTATGAGGAAATGGCTCATGCAGTATTGAGGCTGAGAAGTTCCGCGATCTACCGTGCGCAAGCTGGAGACCCGGGAAAGGCAATGGTGTAATTTAGTCCAAATCAAAAGGCCTGAGACCCAGGGGAGCTGATGATGCAGATTCTAGTGAGGGTCTGAAGGCCTGAGAAGCAGGAGAGCTGAGGTCCAGAGAAGACTGATGGCCCAGCTGAAGCCGTCAGGCAGGAAGGGGCCAATTCCACCTTTTGTTCTACTCAGGCCCTCAATGATTGCCTGCCGCCCACTCGCGTCAGGCTTTGCTGAGTCAGCTGATTCAAATGCTAAGGACATCTGGTAACACGCTCACAGACACACCCAGAATAATGTTTAATCTGCGGCCAGTCAAGTTAACACACAACATTAACCGTCAGGGGGAGGTGGTGTGGGCAGGGGGATCAGCAGACCCAGGCTTTCCTCTCAGCTTGGCATTTCCTGGCTGTGTGTCCTTGGAGTGGTGACTTAACCTCTCTGGATTCTGGTTTTCTCTTCTGAAGAATAGAAAAAGAGAGAAGAGAAACCTGCTCCTCCCATCATGCAGAATTTTTAGAGAAGTGGTTTTACTACTTTTATCAAAACCCAAAATCTAACTGTTTTCTTTTTCTGGAAAGAGTGGGAATGACCATGTTAATTCTCTCATCTTCAGCCGCTATAGGACTCTTAGGAATATAGGAAATGAATCCGACATCAAAACGCGAAAAGCTAAGAGTAACATCCTCCAACTACTCGAACTTGGAAAGTCTGAACATTCCAGAAGTTTTGTCCAGTGGACTAGTAAGGTATGAACAATTCCTCTGCTCTGGGAGTTATTCCAGGGATAAGAATCTGTGTAATGTGGTAGGTTTTCTAACTTCTCAAATTCTATTGGCCTGGCCCTACCAAGAGGTGAGAGAGGGGGTTTTCCTTCGCTTCCTTCCCATCCCTGAACTTTTGGGTCTCTGCTCTCTCTTTCAGAAGCCAGGTCCTCCGAACAGCCTCTCATCTAGTCTCCTCTTTAGGGTGGCTTTGTCCCGTCCCATAAGCTTTTTCCTTTTCTCTGGCTCTTTCCCTCAAACCTTGTTTTCTGAGAGCGGCGTGGCTAATAATCCTATTACCATTGTGACAAGAGCAGCTGATTAAATAGAGCTTTTAACCCAAAGGAGGCACTCCGTTGTGAGGTGTTTCAGTCCGGGCAGAGACTCACTGTCTCCGCTGCCTGTGAACAGCCCAGCTCCGAGGATCCACGTACACTCCTACATTCTGCCTGAGAAAACAGACTACACAAAAAGATCATCCTTCAAATTCCTCTTCTTCAAGGAAAGGTCCACTTAACTTGAACTAAATATGGTGGAAGATAAAAAATGAACCACCATCTAGATCTAGTCAGTACTATCACAACTTTTCGTTATTATCAATTGGCAGACATGTATTAACTACCAGTTATGTGCTAGGCCCATGCGAGGCCATGGATATACAAAGCAGAGTACGGCATGGTCCATATGGGGCCCAGAGACCCACAGAAACGATGGCTGTGTGATACCTGCTGGGCGCCCCAGAGACGCATGCAAAGCACTATGGGAGAATCTGTAATCTTCAGGTCTTTGAGACCAACAGCTTCCCTCTCTTAGGCCTGATTTAGGACTGTGCTTCTCCCATACCTTTTTGTTTCTGGGTCTCATTTTGTTTTCCTTCTTTCACTTGTCTCTAGACTACACGTCAAACTCACAATTGTTGGCTTAATGTCTTTCTTGCTACCCTGTAAGTTCCATGAGGGTAGAGACCATCCCTTCTCTGGTTTGTTATTGTATTCCTGGCATGGAGTAGGTGTGCCATGACTCTTTGCTAAATGAATGTCTATAAAACTTCAGCTTAAACTTAAATTTGTAGAATCAGAGAAATTTGAAACCAGAGCAGATGATAGTAATCGCTAATGATTATGTAGTGCTGACTATATGGCCTCTATAGTTCTCAAGACTTAGGTGAGGTACCACACTTAATCCTTGAAACAACGTCTGAGGCCATTATCTCCATTTTGCAGATGGGCAAAATGAGGCACAGGCAAATAATTTTTCGAAAGACACAGAACCAGGAAGGGTTGAGGCAGGATTTGAAGCTGGGCAGTCTGGCTGAAGAGGCCATGTGCTAAAGGCACTCACTGCGAAAAGCTATGGTGCCCTCAAGTCCACCATCTCGTTTAATTGCTGAGGAAATTGAGGCTCAAGAGGTGGAACCCGAAATAGTCAGAACTGGAAAGTCGGAGATTGGCAGAGCTGGGAAGAGAATTCTGTTCTTTCGTTTCCCAATTCAGTGATTCTTCATTGACTTATGTTGAATTTTGATTGACTTTAATTCTTATGTTTTAGTTTCCATTTTAGGCTTGGTTTTCCTGTTGATTTTAGTGACTGGCCCATGTTCACAGCTGTACTACTGTTACCGAACCTGGAGTGAGTTCACTCACCCGTTGCACAGCAAGCCAAGCTCTGACACCGGGTGTAGTGGAAGAAAGTAGGAACTTTATTTTTGCACAGCGCTGAGCAAGGAGAGAGGGCAGCTAACACTCAAATCCCAAACTCCTTGAAAAGCTAAAAGGAAGGGTTTTTATTTGGGGTTTTAGCTGGTCGGAGCTTTCCCACCAGCCTGTCTTTGGCCTTGAGACACTTGCAGAGAGGAGGAAGCCTGTGACCTTGCTGGTCAGCAGCTTTTCCCCAGCCCATATCTCTTTGCGGGAGGAAATAGTCCAGGTGCTTGTCCTTGACAGTGTCTGTCTCCATGGAGAATAGTGGATTCTGGAGCCAGGAAGCCAGAGAGTAAGCCGGGAATGAGTGTTTTGGTTTTAACCCCATGTATGCTGGGTTTAATGTGGGGAAACTGATATCAGGGTCGGTATCACTACCAGCTTTTGGCAGCACAGGTCCAGAGCCCAAGTTCTCCAGCGTATACTCCTGCCTTCTCTCCATCAGCTGCCCCGTCCTGCCACGTGTGCGTTGCTCGGCATTTCTCACACGTGCTCTGCACAGCGTACACTCAGGCAGGCTCAGCAGGTCTTCACTAGTGTTGGTCTTGTCACCAGTTACTCTTCCTAAGGGACCCTTTGGCTTCATGGTTGTAGCATTTTGTTCTTTTACACTAAACTCTTACTAACTATGAGAGCCATCTACAAGGGTACACGCACAAAGAAGAAGGCACTCACATGAGAGAAGTTGCCCTGGGACACCTGGAGGCAACAAGAGACATGTAACCTTTGGAGGTATAATTAAAAACAAAATAAAACAAAAAACAACCAGCTCACTTTGGCAATGGCTACCAGGCCTGGTTTCAGTTTGGACAACCATCTTTGAGGAGGAAATGCAGGGGCTGGCCCTGTGGCTCAGTGGTTAAGTTCACACACTCTGCCTCTGTGGCCAGGGGTTTCACTGGTTTGGATCCTGGGCGCGGACATGGCACGGCTCATCAGGCCATGCTGAGGTGGCGTCCCACATAGCACAGCCAGAAGGACCTACAGCTAGAATATACAACTATATACTGGGGGGCTTTAGGGAGAAGAAGAAGAAAAAAACAAAAAAAAAGAGGAAGATTGGCAACAGATGTTAGCTCAGGTGCCAATCTTAAAAGAAAATTTTAAAAAAAGGATGAAATCAATCAAGTACGAGTTTGGAAGGGTGGCCATGAGGATAAAAATACTGTATATTACAATAAGCAAATTTCCTAGTATAGTAGCCAAAGATTTTCTAAACCATGTTTTAATGTATTTAATTTCTTATAAAAACAATTCTCTTGGGAAACAGATACACAAATTTAAAGTTATTTATAATCCCACATCCATACACAACTACGGTTAGCAGTTTGGTGTATCGTCTTCACTTCCAGTCTTTTCTTTCTATTAATTTGTTTTATTAATTGGTGGTAATTTTAGCATATATTCAAATTTGTATTTTGCCTTTTTGCAGTAACATTCCATCAGGATTTATTTTGTGTTGCTCCTACATTTTTGCGTAATGTTTTGCTTTTTAGATTGACAGCTGTGTTATGCGACAGATGAATAAATTTTATGAAAAAAATGGCAATTTCTATCAGAACACAGTGGGTGATCTGCTAAAGTTCATCCGGAATTTGGGAGAACACATTGATGAGGAAAAGAATAAAGAGTAAGTATTGTTTTCGTTCCTGTAAGTTATATATGAGATGAGAATGATTTTAAAAATCCAATTCTAAATTTATATCTGCTATTTGATGGGAAGAACAAAATTTATTCTGATGAAAGAAAAGTAATTCCTCCCCTTTGTTCAGAAAAGGACCATCACAAGGGTCTTACAATGAACCATGGACACGCTCAGCAGGGTCTCATCTTCCTTTTTTCTTTTTTTTAAGATTGGCCCTGAGCTAACATCTGTTGCCAATCTTCCTCTTTTTTCTTCTTCTCCCCAAAGCTCCCCAGTGCACAGTTGTATATTCTAGTTGTAGGTCCTTCTAGTTCTTCTATGTGGGATGCCACCTCAGCATGGCTTGATGAGCAGTGCTAGGTCTGCGCCCAGGATCTGAACCGGTGAACCCCGGGCCGCCAAAGTGGAGTATGCAAACTTAACCACTTGGCCACAGGGCCGGCCCCTCATCTTCCTTTTTAGCTTATCCTGAGCCCCCTGTGAACAGAATGTTAGTGACTCCCTTGTGTGAAGAAACACAGGGGACTGGGCAGCTGGGTGAAGTGAATATAGCATTATAAAAGTCTAGACGTAGCCCCATGTTAGTTAAATCAGCTTTTGTTGCCAAAAATGTTAGGTGCAAATTCACAAAAAACTTGGTTTCCAGGGCTCTTTTGGATTTTGGAATTGTGGATGAGGGATTGTGGAATTGTATTATCTCCATTTTATGGGTGATAAAACCAAGGTTCACAAAAATTAAGTTGCCAAAGTTTGCATCGTTAGTTGAAGAGTCAGGCGATGAACCTTGCTCTCAGATTCCAAAGTCCGTATTCGTTTTGCCATAGAAACCAGGGGGCAAAGAGATCTCTGGAACCGGGTGCTGTGGGGTGTGGGGGGAGAAGAATTTGAGGCAAGCATGCCAAAATATTTATGTTCCTTTCAGGATGAAGTCGAAAATTGGAATACCTTCCCAGTATTTTCAGAAGAAGTTTCCTGATCTGGTCATCTATGTCTATACAAAACTACAGAACACAGAATACAGAAAGCATTTTCCAAACACACAATCCAAATAAGCCTTGGTGTGATGGAGGCAGAGGTGTCCAGCACCTGAGTGTGGCTGAGTGCTGACCGAGCCTTGTATAATCCTGGGCAATTCACAACTCTCTGGGCCTCTTAACTAACCTGGTTGCTTGTAAGGAATGAGTTGAATGGCTGATATGTCAGTTCCTGGTACAATGGTTGGCGTTTCCCACATGTTTATGACAAAAAAAGTATATGCTCCAATTACCCTAGTTCTTTTTAAGGGTAAAACTTAGTGGCGGGAGCTGGAAGTGCATTCTGCCGATTCCTCTTGTCAATTGCACCAAAGGAGTGGGTGCCTAGACCTCTAAGGCTATATGTTTCACATCAGTTATCTCATGTAATTCTCACAATGACCGTGCAAGATAGGGTTGATGTCCCCATATAAGAACTGACAAACCTGAGACTCAGAGAGTTTGAACTACTTGCCCAAGATCATACAACCTGTACAGAGCACTGTGTAAAGGGATGTGGTGGTATTGTTACCTCTTACTTGGGCACCTTAAAACTTAGTTACTATCCCAGGGCTCTTCTGGATGAGACCCAAAAGGAATGCCAAAGGGGCTCTGGGTGGCTCATTCATTTATTCATTCAATATTTGTTGAGCATGTAATACTTGTATGAATTCCATTCCTTCTAGAACCACTTGCACTGGTTTTCTATGACCTTAAGGCAATAGTTCTTAACTGTGGGCAGTTTTGCCCCTCAGGGCCATTTGGTAGTGTCTGGAGATGTTTCTGGTTGTCAAAGCTGGGAGGTAGGGGGTTGTTACTGGCATCTAGTAGGTAGAGGTCAGGGATGCTGCCAAACATTCTACAATGCCCAGGATAGCACATACCCTGCACCTCCCGAATTATCCAGCCTAAAATATCAGTGGTACTGAGGTTGAGAAACTCTGCCTTGAGAGGCTGGGACTCTTTTGAACTGGCTTGGGGCCCGGGACCCTGGAGTGTGCGGACCATCTCATGGAGGAGTGACTCAGATTTGTTTTCTTGCTTTTGGATCTGTAGTGAGACAGTTCCAGTGTCACCTCCTCAGGAATTGATCTGACCACTCTCACTTTCCACACCCCAGTGTGAGTCCTCTTTCTGGCTCCCTAGCACCCCTAGCCACATCAGAGCACGCCTCTCTCCACCTTGAGTGTGCTTTTTTCCCACTGGAATCTAAGCTCCTGAGGGCCAATAATATATATTTTTTTGATTTGTGTCATTACTGCCTAGTAAATTGTCTGCCCCACGGTAATGTTCAATAAATATTCATTGAATAATAAATGAACCATCTTCATAGATGAGTAATAATGGTACCTTATATTTTCATGGTCATTTATAATTTATAAATTACACCTGCGTATCTCTTTTAGTTTTAAAAACAATCCCGTAAGGTGTGTGTCATCATCCTCATTTTGCAGATGAGGAAACTAAGGTTAGAGACATGTTGGTTGACTCTAATACATAACTAGGAGGTGTCACTCTCTTGATTTGAACAGATTTTTTGGGCTTAAGTCTAATGTTCTTTCCATTACCCTCACTGTGGTGGTTAAGGTGGAGCTTTGTAATGGGAAGAGCTGGGAAAAAACCGTATCTTAGGCATTCCTGAAGAAGAGGTAGTCTAAAGTGGATGTTACGGAATGAAGTTAAGAAGTACTGGAAGAAACAAGCTTAAGGGTTTTCTTTAAGATTTTGGGAGCAGCAGGATTGATTTAGGTTTTAACATTAAGCTTTGGTTTTATGATTTGTAGTGAGTACCTGGATATGTCAATCAAAATGCCTATTTGTAAAGCATAGTCAATAAAACTTTGAATCATCTTATAAAGTCTGATTTTCTCCAAGTGATATTTCCGCTTTTGAGAGCAAAAGTAGATATAGTGATATCTGCTATAGAAAATGTTCAATGAGTAATTACTCGGTAAGTTTTAAGAAAGGGCATCCTTCTCAAGGCCATGGCTCTTGTGGTCCCCTCTGCCTGGAGTTTTATTCTGCCAATCTTTGCATGGCAGTTCCTTTTCATCTTTTAGGCTCAGCTACAGTGTTCATCCTTTGATGGCCTTCCTTATCCAAAATGTTTCACAGCTATCATTTTTTATAACATCAAGGCACCAATCACTATCTGAAATTATCAGATTTATTGTTCACATTAAAAAAAGTCTCTTTCTTCCTCATGATGATGGGAACATAAGCTCCATGATAGAAAGGATGTGGTCTGTCTTATTCACCATTATAATCCATCTCCAATATCTAGCATGGTGCCTGGAACAAAGCAGATTCCAATAAATACTTATTGAGTGGGAAAATAAATGCTTCTATGATTGCAATATCTCACTGAGTTATAATTATGTAATTAAAAGCCTTTCTTTAAAATATGAGCATCTAGAAGGCCAGGATATTTTTCTTCTTTGTTGTGCTTGGCATTGAATAGCTGCTCAATAAAATCTGTTGCATTTGGTTAATCCTCCCCCTCCTAGGGGGCTCTATCGTGTTAATATGGGTCTTTCAATGAATGAAGAGGCTTTAGGCCCTAATAAAATATAACTAAAAGGTGGGACTGCAGGTGTCATGGTGGGAGGTAGGGAAGGACACTTGGATGCTTTCTGGTGTCTCTCAAATTATTTCAAGGTGTTTGCCCATAAGAGAAGCAGCCCTTAGGTCCTTAACTCCCCCTGGCCTGTAGAACATCCAAGGAGTCATATAGTCAGGCTCGTGGACTCACAGTCCATGGTTCCTCCCACCAGCCCAGCTCCCTCTGAAGTTTCAGTTTCCAGACGAAACTTTCTTTGGTGCCAGCTTGCTCACACTTAAGGCAACAGCTCTATTCTATTCAGTGGTGGGTGGCGTTTACACCTGTTTCTGTCTGAGCCTCACACAGTGCCTGGCATGTTCTAGGTGCACAGGATATGCTTCTTGAATTCACTCGAATTGAGTAGAGCTTTCCAAATTGGATTTTTGGGGGGGTTCCTCCTAGACCTGCAGCGTGGGAGAGCATGCAGTCTTAGCGCTGACTCCTAGGGCAGCTTCTTCCTGTTCCGTGCTCCACTTTAGGAGACAGTGAGATTTCAAGAAGCTTGGGTAAAGCACAGCAGAACCTCGCTCCAAAGGAGATCCTGGGGGATCCATCTTTTCCTTTTTCTTTCTGGGGGGCTCTCAGGATTGCCAAAGTGCCCAGCACTGTGCCTGGCATACCGTGTCAGTTGTTGCTGCTGTTAATCACCCAGCACAGATGAGGCTTGCCGCAAATGTCTTATGCTCCTTCTCTCTCCTCCTACTACAGGAAACAAATATCAAAGAAAAAAAAGGATGGTGCAAAGTCTTATGTCCCCCATAGTGATTTTTACTGTGCCATGCTTTAATTGCTTTATCGCTTGTTTGCTTAGCTTAAGAACAAGAGAGGGTAATAACAAAAGGAGAGAAGTGGGTGGGAAACAATATGGGATTGGGTTTTTTGAGGCTCAGTGAACCATTAACAGGATTAGGTGTTAATAATATTTATTTTTATTGTTTTTGAGGAATCGTATGTGCACATCACTTTGTTTATCACTAATAGTGGCTTACGAAAATTGAATACAACAATCTTGAAATGATTTCATGTCCTCAGAAGGAATAGACCCAATCAGTGAAAAATACCCACCCAGAGATTTTTATTCTTTCTTCCTCCTGAAAATACTCTCTCAACCTGGAGTATTAGGTGGGATTTTGTTTTTGAGATTCTGTAAAATTGAGATAACCAGGTGGAGTTTTACTTAGTAGCTCTTTTAACAAAGACCGAATGAAAGTGACTTCGGCAAGATAAAAGTTTGGTGTTTCTTTCATGTTAAATCTTGCGCAGACCAGCAGTCCAGGACGGAGGCAGTTCCGCCCCACCAGTCACGTAGAGAACAGCGGTTTCCTGTCCAGGGCGATCAAACCACTAGAATACTACAGTGAGCAAACCAGCTCAAGATCCCTGTCCTCATGGGGCATTCAGGGAGGAGGGAGATGGAAATAAGCATCAATAAAGACATAGTGCACTGAATGGTGACAATAACGAGGCAGAAAAGTGAAGCAGGGTAAGGAGATCGGAAGTCAGGGAGGGTCAGTGAAGTTTAAATAGGGTGGTCAGGTGGACCTCATCAAGAGGGAGACGATTAAGCAAAGACTAGAAGGAAGTAAGAGAGTAAGCTTTGGGGATATCTGAGGGAAAGCAAGCAGAGGGAAGAGCTGGCTCAAAGGCCCTGAGGCAGGATCATGCGCAGCATGTTTGAGAATTAGAAACAGGGCAGCTATGTCATACACAGAGTGAGTGGGAGAGGAAGGAGGAAGGAAGACAGGAAGAAACAGGAAACCAGTCTGGGAGGGCCCTAAGGCAAATGTGAGGCCTTGGGTTTTTACTCTGAGTGAAATGGAAAGCCCCTAGTGGACTGTGGGCAGAGGAGTGACATGATGTGACTTAAATTTTAGGAGACTCATTCTGCCTTCTCTGTGGAGAAGAGGCTACGGGGGAGGGGAGCGTAAAGGCAGGGAGACCAGTTAGGACCTTGTGAAAGACTGGTGGCTTTGCGTTTAAGAGCATTAGGTGGACTGCAGGTAGTCGGACTGTGGACATGTTTTGAAGGTAGAGGCGACAGGACTTGCTGACCGAGTGAGTTGGGGTGTGAGGGAAAGAGAGGGGTCCAGGATGACTGTGAGCATTTTGGCCTCAGTGACTGGAGGAATGAGGCTGCCATTAACAGAGAAGAGCAGATTTAGAGGGAAAACCAGACATGTAGTTTGGACACACTAAAAGCGGGATTGTTTTGACACATTTAAAGGAAGACATCATATCTGGTTAGATAGAAGTATCAGGAAGGAGTGCAGGGTGATACTGGCTGCAGATGACTTTGTGTGTCAGCTGATGACAATACTAAAAGCCCTGAGAGGGAGTATAGGTAGAAAGGAGAAGTGGCTGTGAAACTACTGGGGAGAAAAAAATCTAAACTATTTAAGAGTCTAAATGTGCTAATAAGTTTCTCTTTCTGAGAACAGGAGAGTTTCCTTGTGGTTCTGCTAGCTCCTCTGTGAGAGAAACCTGGAGTGCACGCCCAGAGGGGCGGAGATCAGCCTGGGGGTGGGAGGTGGGGGGATGGGGGGAGGTCCTCCAGGCGCTCTCCAAGTGATGCGTTCATCTGGATTTGCCCACCAAGAGCTGCAGCAAGTGACGTCCTCATAGATTTATCTTCCCCTATTTCCTGCTGTTTAAATGTATTTGCAATGACTAAGAGAATTTAGAAAATAATGTCAACACCAGTTGCAAATTCCAGCCCATGACTGTGTCTTAGCCCAGCATGTCTGTTTTCAGTTCTTAAAGCCTTTACCAGACTAGTGGCAGGACTATAGCTTTGAGAGGAACCAGAGTCCCAAGATCTGGGGTGGGGATGGGATGGGATAGGATGGGACTGTCTTGGATGTGGAACAAAGTGTGAGGATCTAAAGGCAGTTCAGGGGCTACTAGGTGTCTAAACCAAGCACTGACTCAAAAGGGACACAGAAAAGTGATGAAAAAGTGGCCTGAAGCTTTGGGTCTGAAGGTTTTTTTTAAGAAAAACCAAAAGAATTAGGCCAAAAAGGATAATACTCTGTATCTGCAGATGGGGATGGTATCTGTAAGGCACATCTATGTGAGTTGGATGGAGATGTCCCTTCCATTAAGCAGATGCAGTTCCTGAATCAGAGCTCACAATAGGACACCACTTGCACAAATGGACATAGTGCCCTGACCAAATAGGCCCCGCATTCCTCTGTTCCCTGACAACATAGAGGGCTTCAGTTGGCTGTTATAATAAATATCTTCCTCTTGGGCAGATCCCAGGAACAAAGTTGTCTTGGTTGACTGTGATGAGAACTGTGAGTTGGGGGACAATGGGACACTGATCATAGAGGACCTGAAGGCATCGCTATCTGTCCCAGAATGTTTTGTCACTGTGGTGAAAACCCTAGTCCTTCAAGTTGCCAGGTCCTCCCTCTCATGATCCTTGAGGTTACCTCATTTCCTGTGGGTTTCCTTTCAACCTCAAGGCCGTGGCTGAGGGCTCCTTCTCAGTTTCTGGGAGCCCTGAGCAGACCCAAGTCCCTTCTTTTGGGCTTTAGGTTGAAGCTTTTTCTTTATTGCCCCCCAAGCCAGTGACATCCTTGAACCAGGCTTCCCCTGGTTTGGCAGACTCAGAGTCCTAGGTCTTCTGAGCAGGATATCCATTTCCATCACCATATCCGAGTGTCCCTCAGTTCCCTCTTCTCTTTCTGATCTCATGGGCCCCCAAGGAACCCCCAGATCCTTCACTTACCTGCTCTCCCCTCCATCACCACTCACCTGCCCAACCAGGAGCAGTCTTTGCAACCCCGGCATATGGCACAGTGCCTCCTTGCTCTCCCAGAGGCCTGGGGGCTGGGTCTGCCTTCAGAAACAGGGGCCTATGGAGAGGGGATCTTTTCAGGTTAGAAGATTGTGGCAATACCTCGGTGGAAGCAGTCCTCCTCAAGGAAAGAAATTGAGCCGCTGGCCCTGTACTCCCCTGAAGAGGCCCCGCTGGTCCCCTGGGGCCAGCCAGAGAACCCA